TATGTTATGCTAGTTACATGAAAGGACATATCTGCCCTTGGTGTTTACATCATAACACTTAACAATATAAAAAAACTGAAAAGTAAATAACAGAACTAGAATAACAGAATAACATAACAGATAGACTAGGTATATTCTACCCTACGGACAGAGTGGCCCCACAGTAAATAACAGAATAACATAACAGATAGACTAGGTATATTCTACCCTACGGACAGAGTGGCCCCACAGCTGTGGGGCCCACATCAGTTTCTCTACAACATTCATGTCCTTGGCGATCATTTGACTGATCTTTCCTGCCTAATCTAACCATGATTTAAAATGTCTGTAAATTTCCTAATATTTCCATTTCCATGGGTGCTGACAAATTTTACAGTTTTTACTAGAATTGAGATATTCCCCAGTGGACCTTACTGGTATGATGCTACTATGTGGACTATAAGAGATAGTATTATTACATAAATTGGTGACAATATTGTAGACAATGTGGCTAGCAATGTTATTGCCTGCCTAATGGACTTGTTTACCGCTTTGAGCAAGCTTGATATTCTTTTCAAACATGATGTCAAATATTAGTTTTTGTTTGTGTAATAGATTGTTTGGTTGATCTATTAGGAATTTAGAATCATTTGCATTTTCGATGAGTTTAAGTTTTGATCTAAGTCTAACTCATTCTATCATGTAGCTTTGACTCTTCAGATTTATGGGACAACTTCATAATGTATTATTTGGTCTACAACCTTAGTTTCTTAGCTTTGTTTAATGATTTGGAACAAGATAATAATTCAAAAAGGTGTGCCTATTCTTCTTTTATTATTCCATAATATATCATTCTAAATTTATTTCACAATGTTTCCACCATTCCTATAATTTTAACAATATTTCCGACATTTCTGACTTGTTTCCTATATTTGGATGATCGACATTTCCACTGACACCAACATTTTAAACCTTGAATCTAACATTAAACCTTGCATTTCTGTCTTTTAGATACTGATGAAGAGTTGAAGGAATGGCAAACCAAGTTTGAAGAAAGGATTGCACTTCTAGAATCTAAAATTAGCAAGCTAGAAAGGGAAATGGAGGACACTGAAAATCGAAGTAATTTTCTATTGGGCACAATTCAACAATCCCACCAGGAGATTGGGAAGCTCCAACATGAAGCTGAGGTAATTTTTGACATGCTTGCGCACACCATTGTTTTTGCAAGATACTAACTAGCTTTTTTTCCTATTTTTTTCCCGGTTAGGCTCATATATCATCGAGGCATGAACAAGATTCAATCATTCAAAGGCTTTTTGTGAAGCATAATTTCGGGCCTCTTCCAAAAACTCCTTTTAGCCTTGAGGATGCTATGAACCTCACAAATCGAATAAAAGCAAGATTGATGGATCTTGATAAGGATTTGCAAGATAAGAAGGTAGGTTCTGTTCATTAAATGCTATTTTCGTCTTATTTTTGTTTCCATGAACATGCCACTAAACTAAATAATTAAGACGATCCATTTTTTTAGGATGGACTTTAGCATGTGGCAGAAATCTACATCGTAATTCATATACTTTTTCCTTTCCTTTTCTTTTTGCAATTTTTTCTTTCTCTTGTGTGTAATTCTTAAAATTTCTACTTTATTTTTTTTGCTTTTATTTTTTACGAGTACAGGGGTTAAATGCATCATAGTCATTGTTGTGTTGAATATATTATGTATTCATCTAGACTTTGTGTGGTATTTATCACTTAGGACATAGGTTTAACTTTTATTTATGGATCTTCAACTTAGATGAGACTGTTGCTGTGGAATCACAAGTGTTCTTGTCCTGTTGTTTGTCCTGTGCAGAATGTGGAATGGTTTTTCCGTATTTTTTCTTCTTTACAAATTATTTTTGCCTTACAAGGATCATTACTCACATAGTGCCTCTTCGTTCTTAACTTATTACAGGAGCTGACTTCAGAACTGCTAATTTGTTTTTGAGCTTCTTTGAGTAACTTGATTGACACCGGAATAGTTTAGTCTCTTAGGGGTAGATGGAATGTGAAATACCCCTTTGTAGAAGGCATAGGAATTAACTCACTACCAAATGAGGATTGAATTACAGATTTTGATGGCAAGATGGCAGGTGGTAATTGTTATGGGTAGGTTTGGTTGATTCTTAATTGGAAGTGTTAGACAGTTTTGTATGCCCTTAGCTTCAATCATTTTGATGTACTTTTGTTATTTAGTGGAAATAAATAAAGTGCATGTTTGATTCATGTTGTTTG